ATTCAAGCGATACAGCAGACGCCAAACCCAACAAATGTGGCGACATTGATCATTTCTTGGTTTCATCAGTTACCATCCAGTGTCTTTGCCTTCAATCTCTGCTACTAATACTAAGCCTCTTAGACCTTATGTAACTTCTATCGCAGTAACAACTGTCAACGATCAAAGCCATCATAACCTAATTCCAAGTATCCTGATGATGTCCACAGCATAGATTATTGCTCATATTCACATCAATGAAATAAAATTTTCAACATCTCTGATGTAAGTATCGTGTTACCTGTTACCATTGTTGGGTGTTGATTCTATGAGTCAGTCTCTTTAATTAATATTCGGCTTAAGTATGATGGTTTTATGCCACTGTTTTGTGGTTTATAGGAATTTATTCTAGTACTATATATATCAACTTCGGAAACACAAGAAGTGAGCGATTGCCACATGAAGATTCTGGATAAAAAGGGATAAAATATCCGGCACTAATAAACAGGGCTAAAACACTGCACACTGAGATCCCAAAAAGGAACGCTTGCTAGTGTGACTTCATCGTAAGGTCTAGTATTTTTGACAATACTGATTGCAAAATTCTGGAACACAATCTGCGCAGCTGCAGTCTTACCTATTCTTGGCCTCATATTCATTGTGAGGTACTGAATCGGTTAACTAAGATTCAGTGATCAACCTTTCTTTCCGTTCGACTACATCATGCATCAGTACTGTCCCACACTGTTGTATACCACCACGTGCACAACTTTTGAGACAGCTTTCTCAACTTTGAGGACCGATATTTACATCCCATACAGGTTTGGGCCGGCTGAACGCTGGTCAACTGAAGCGTGGCACCACGAAATGATATCTGATTACGCCCCATACTTTATGGGCTTTAGTGGGTCTGGATGCATGTGAGCAGTTGTTTGTTATTCAGGTAAAAATGATGAGATTAATTATCGGCGCCTAGGCATTAGTCATCAATTACAGCTTTATGCATTGATGGCCTGAACAGCGATTGATTACTTAATTTCTAAATTCCTCAGGATTACTTGGTGGCTGTTTTCTGTAACTATCATGTTCTTCACGGCACGAATGTGGATCTCGTGAGAACCATAGAATGGCATTAACTCAAGGATCAGAAAGGGCGCTTCTCGACTGCATTCCCGTCAACAGCAGTCTACACGCTGTTACTCTGAATAGATCTGTAAGGACTAGGAAAGATCGTGAGACTAGGTGGTGTCGAATCGTAATCTCCACCTATACATACACAGACTGTAATTTGGATCATGCAGAGGATGACTTCTAAGAGAAGCTGTCAATTTTTCTATGGAAAGCAAAATGTTAAGACGTAGTCATAATGGCAGGTGAATTTAACACTCAATTACGGAAGCTGAGCCAATCTGAAGAGTATTTCAGAAGTATTTACAGAATCCCATGCCAACTAACTGACGTGATAATCACTTGTTTCTGGTCAGCACTAACTTTAATTATAAAGAGAGACACTGTCCTACATGGTTCCTACCGACGTCAAACCAATGATGAACATAGATAAATCATATTGCTATAAGCCATTAATGGACGACTGCCGCTCTTTCTGGAGTACCAGTTTGGACTCCGATCACGCGCTAGTGTATGTCTGCGTCTTACTTGGTCGCAGGAAGCAGGCGATAGTTAAGCCTGTCGATTGATAGATGAGAACGCCAAGTATATATTTAGGAAGTTAGCTAAGCATGCATCTGAATGTGACAACAATGCTCACCCTGAGGAAACCTGACATGTATGAGATAACATCTGGTGTAGAAACAGGTGTAGAGAAAGTTGGTTACCTACACCCAAACGTTATCAAAAGTCATTGGATTCCTGCAACGTCATCCCGACTGAATAGTGCGAGAAGACTGATTCCAGCTTGCTCTGACGACAATGAAGAACAAAGTAACGTAACTAAACGTAAACTGACGAAAAGTCTTCGCTATGATCGTGAACAGTGGTGGATGGGCAGAGAGGCGGAGAAGCAACCAGCGTTATGTAACACTCCGCAACTATTAAGACTTATTAGGGATACTGTTGAGAAGACGATGGTGAGACCGTCGCTGGAAAGGACGGAAAGCTGATTACATCCCTTGAGCGTTCGGCAGAACACTTTGAAGCACAGTTCAACTGGCCCTCAACAACGCTTCGGTTGCCCAACATCCAGCCTGAACATGAATGGAATGCAGATATCGGCCGTCCAACTCTCCTTACAATTGAGAAAGCTGTTTTGAACTTGAAATGTTGCAAAGCAGTAGGACCTGAAAGCTTGCCACCTGAAGTTTTCAAGAATGGAGGTAGGAAATTGCTGCTTACAGTGGCAGAGGTACTAGAAGGTGCGTGGGAGTCAGAGGTAGTGCCGTCAGATTGGTCTACACTGATTATCTCAGTCTATAAGGAGGGAGAGGAATCCTCTCGTAACAACTATAGGAGAATCTGTGCGACTAATATCGTGTCCAAGATCCTTGGGTCCAAAGTTATCCGACGCGTGACCGGAGCCCGAGAACAGCAAGGCCGAGAAAACCAGGCAGGTCTCGAACTTGGACGAGAGTGCATCGGTTATATTCCCCCCACCTTCCTACAGGTCCAGGAACACAGGCATACTTATTAGCGGCCTACACGCCACATTTCTTGAGCTAAAGGAGACATTCGACCGTGGGTTGTTGTGGCAGTGTCTGACTAAAAAGGGAGTGCCGAGCAAGTATATAATGCTCATCAACGCTCTCTACTCGAACTCACGCAGCCATGTAAAGGCTTATGGAAAGTTGTCATGCCAATTGACGACAAACGGTGGTGTCTGCCAGAGATGTTCACTGTCACCATTCCTACTTAACTTCGTCATAGACGTACTAATGGACACCACCTTAGGTACATTTGACTTCACAGGAATTGGCCTACTCCCTGGAGGTCTCCTGGCCGACTTGAAGCGTGCATACGACATTGTTCCGCTGGATGAAGACGCTGACAATAGGCAGGATCCCTTGGATGCGTTAAGCAGAGATCTGTATTTGGCATGTCAAATTTCATATGGTGCTCCAAGACTAGTCTGTTCCAAGCACTCCCAGTTTAATGATAAGAAGTTAAGTAGTGGAAGGTGTCCTCCGCCTCACTTACTACGAGAGTTGCATCAGCCAAAATGGGCTGGTTTCTGACGAAATGTCAGCCCCGATACAGAGTGCTCGTTTAACATTTGACAACATGTGGTGCCCACTGGCGAGATATCCAACCATCTATCAAAGGATGAGAATATTTCGCTGCAGTCCATTGTCCTGTCGTACGGCTGTGAGACATAGCCTTTGGAAGTAGGAGATATGAAGCAGCCACAGCGTTTTGATCAGGAGTGTCTTCGTAGCACTGCTCACGTTTGTTGGAATCACCCTGTGAGTAATGTAGAGGTCAGGCAATGGGTTTAGGCGAGACGGTTGTGAACCTTAGTCGACAAAAGTGATTTTAACGTGCGCTGCGCGCGCCAAGTCACTAACCACCTCGATGCGCCATGTTGGGGGAAGTTGGAAGATGGTTCAGAGTGGCCAGACCAAGCTTATGAAATCGCTTGTTGTGGGTCTGAGTCGTATGAGGAGATGTAGACTACCCGGATGGTACCATAGTGTTCCAAAGCAAAATTATGGTCAGTAGATGCTGTTTTCGAATATGACAATCCTCACATTTCCTACACACCGAGATCTATCCATATAATGTATTTACCACACACCCAACGCTCAAAATTTGTTGAACTATAAAGTGGCGTCCAAACTTCCCCACGCACAATCTAAGACGGATAGCCATACTTTCTAGAATTACCACCCACCTCCACTATTAAGATAAGTACCTAGTGACATGCAGTGCTCTGTCATACAAAAATGAAATGCGGTGACTGTAAGTTAACAATAAAGGGATAAACTCATCATCATCAATATCAACATAGGACCAGGCATTACTGCGCAACGGTCCGAGTTGCCACACCTCATATCAGTACATCAAGTAAAAAGGCAGTGAGGCACAAGATGAAGATAAGAGAATGCAGTCAAAAGAAATATAAAGTACGAAAAGAGAGAAACGAAGAATTGGAAAGTGGTGAGATTCGGTATAGCGTCGTTAAGATGAGGATAATGTGTGCACACATCTGTGTCACTGACATCAATCCTGAGCCATGTGATCACCTAGAGTCAGTCTCCAATCACTGGTTCCTCTTGTCTCGCGGACCCCAACCACCTAGTCTGCATCGTCCTAAATGGCTTAAACCAACAGTCAGAGACTTCATGCATTGGTGCTGCGTTTTAGTCTGGCCACCTCGGGCCTTTTTCCAGCCTGGATCTACTTCAGCCAACATTGTGTGACGAGGCAATCGGTGACTAGGTATACGTGATATGTGTCCCAACCATCTCAGTCGATGAAGGTTCATAACCTTGTCAACTGACTTACCTCTACTCCCTGAAACTTTACACCTGACTCCTGCGTTACTCACGTGGTGACACCACGGAATATGGTCTACACTACGAAGGCAACGGTGGTCAAACTAGACATTTTACATCTCTCCCTTCTTGTGCAACTGATTAAAGCAATGTCATTTCATTAACTGAATACACTGCTCAATTACCAAACCAACTGAAGCGAAATGAAGATGACGCAGAACCTAAACTTTATAATGTGCAGCTCAGTGCAAAATTACATCGACCAACGTTTCTCGAAACAAAAGAGGATTGAAATGAACAACTCGGTAATCGTGTTACATCACTCGATTAAAATTATTCGACCGACAGTAAAGACTATGCGACTAATTATTCTGGTGACTTGATATTTAACAACTAAGACGTAAAGAGAGAGAAAACTTCTTCTCATACTGATATCCCCATAACACTAGAATAAAATTTTTAAATGACAAAGAATGCAGATGCGAAGCTGATGGATTGGCAATCAACAACTACTCAGCTACCCATCTTAACAGAATGAATGGATTAGTGATGAAAGCAGAACACGCTCTCCAATTAGTTGTTTTGCAATGATACAAGATTTATTTGAATAGATAAAGTTAGAAATGAAAGAATATTTCGCTAATCCGTTGGTGTACCAATGAATAAAGTTCCACTAACGCTTTTTATTCAATCGAGCGTTACGGTTTAGTGCAGCTTGAAGAGTTCTGATAAGGTGACGCAGATGATCAGCTTCAAGTGACGAAAGCGGCATATCGTTATGATCAACCTTAGACAATAATCTATCCTGTTAAAAAGACGAAAACATCAATAAATAATAGTGTGCCCACGATAGTTAAGTGTTGTCATAGCAGGAGATATCAAGTGACCAATTAATAAATGGTCAAGAAAACTGTAATATGAATTTCAAACTATTAAATATCTCTTAAATTAGAGCTAAGTAAATTACCTTTCTTACACACATTCAAAAAACCACCCACTTTCGTGTGGGGAAATCTGATTGACAAGAATTGATGTTCAACCGACTTTGTATACAAAAATTCTCCGCAAGAAGTAACTATGAGTACTTGACTTTCAAGAAATGGACTCCCAATTGAAAGCGAATCTATTCACCTGAGTGGCCTAGACAGAGCATCACCAAGTATTACACTACAAAAGTGGTTCATATTCTAATGCGTAAAACACGTACTGCATGCAGTCGTATCAAATTTACTTTCTTACCCACTTTTATTCGCCTTGCATTGCAGAAAGCACTTATTACAAGCTGTTACGCAGTAATGCCTGGTCCTATGTTGATAATGATGATGATGATGATATTACAAGCTGTGTGTGACTGAGACCAGTGAACGGCACAAATATTCCCTTATTTCAACTCCTTTCTTCCCTGTTCCGCAATTTACTCGCTTACTTGTGAGATAGTAATCGGATGATGTAGTTTATACCTCTCGAATACTGAAATTGTCAACACAAACAGCGCTTTGTCATTGTAATTCTGTTTGTAGATTATTACAGAGTTAAATACAAAATAGAAGGATTTCAGACCTAACAGTCCCAAGGTAGAAAACAGTTGTAATCATTAACAAACCGAAGACAATCGTCTGGAAATATTATCAAAATGAACATTGACTGCTTCGACCAATTTCTGCACTTATACATTCACTGTCAGTGTACTGCTCAAACAAAATATTAGTGTAATCACTGGCCACATAGTCTCCCCACAAATTCATTTATATTCACACCATATTTTAAGTAAATAATACTTCAACTAATACAATAGACTCTTAAAAAACACAAAATTCAAGGTAAAATCTTACTCGCATCTCTTTGGACATTTTCCCAGCAGAATGAGGCCTCATTGTCTTGTCAGCGATAGACAAAGTATCGCCAGTTGTACTACATGTAACAGTAGTGTTATTTTTGTGCGTACGCAGGGCACGTTTGTTTCCGTATCCAGTGGCAAGAGTTCGTGATCCGCTTGTCCGATTGGTTGACGATGAGGCGAATACTCCAGGTTCTGTTAATTTTGGAGTAGACGCGATTGGCAGTCTCTTTTCACAACCTGCCAGCACCTAGTAGCATTTACGCATAAAAAATACAAAGAGATGAATGGATCATACCCGCACGATACACTGACGTAAGGGGTTGGAAACCAAACTGACCAATGAATCAGTAATGCCTGCTAGCCAGATCGAGGTAAGCTGAAGACTAAACAAACGTTTCACTCACTTCAGACAAAGCTCATCAGTGGCGTACCACAGAGCCGTATGGTTCATATTATCAGCTCAAGAGCTCCAAAGAGGACGAAACGCGCATCAAGCCGGATTCCAAGGCTAGCCACTGTCCATCATTAATATCATACCTAAGAACTTGCAAGATAGCCGTGGAAAAAACTGCTTTCTGCCTTTGATAAAGAACAAATGCAGATATCCTTTTGTGTTTGTATACCCAAAATTCAGACTAAATAATTTCTAGGAAATAACCCTAAACAGATTCTAGTGGTCTCTACAGAATGCAATCCATGTAAACATACTGAAGCTAGTCTTGAAAATAATGTGTATTTAACCACATCACTGCAGTTAAAACTAAGGCTTTTATACACACCAATGCAAAAAGACAGAAAGCTTAGTTTAATAGCCACAGGTGAGTTAAATTGAACAACTGAGTTCCCTGAGTTTTAAGGTCCATAGCTATCCATTGCCTGAATTAAGCAGTAAAACAGCGAACCCAGGAAGGGCAAACAAGTCTTACACTAAATAATATTCGTATCGCCAAAATTTTTAATAAGCTGACTGGTGAAGATGACATTTTTTTTACCTCCCATTTTTCATGGACTGATGTGATCGTTGGTCAGGTGATCATGTTTCTTCTATAGCGAAGACGCTTATAAGACATACTTTACTGGACAGTTTGAGTGAGTCATCGAATCTTTGATATGCATTGTGCACTCGCCACACTGATCCCGAAAACCTTTGAGCTTAGAAATAGGCTGTGGTGTCTTCGCCACTGATAAAGTGCCGCCAATAAACCAGAAACGATAGCCGCCTTCGGTGATTTTCAGTTGTCATCAGTCTATGACGCCTACGAAAGCATGCTGCGCAGCCTCAAGAATGGATGAATCACCCCCTGCTAACGCTATGTGTCTTCCTTGTCCAGTGTTAGCACGAGCAAATCTCAATAAAACAATTCTAAAGACATGACAGTGCCCAAGCAGATATTTCTTCGTATCTGAGGTGATACGACATTATTCCTTCTTCTCTTTAAGGTACCTCTTGGTAAAATATCCACGACGTAAACAACCGAGAAGTACCGACCACCTGAATGCTTTCAGCAGAATACATTACCAAGCCATTCATAACTTACCTACCTTCCTAAAACGTTCGTCGAACTCGCATCCTGCAAGCACTCCTACCAATCCAAGTCACTCCTAAACTCTTAAAACATCACTAACAAATTGACGACGTACGTTTTAACGTCCAAACCTTGAGCCAAATCAATCAACAGGCATCTCTTGTCAAAACTCTTAAACCTTGAACCATAGATGTATATATGCTGTTTTTTGAGACACAAACACAGGAAACAAGCGTCACAAGGACAATGCAGTAAATCTGCAAAACTCACAGAGTATTCGGAAATTCAGTGGCTAACCCCCTCACAGACTCTCAGGTGAAAATGTGACAGAGTTGTAGAGCAGGAAATGCACTTCTCCATTGGATACCAGTCAACAGCAGTCCATACGCTGTTACTCTGAATAGATCTGTAAGGACTAGGAAAGATCGTGAGACTAGGTGATGTCGAATCGTAATCTCCACCTATACACAGACTGTAGTTTCGATCATGCAGAGGATGACTTCTAAGAGAAGCTGACAAATTTTTTACAGAAAGCAAAGTGTTCAGATGTAGTCAAAATGGTAGATGACTTTAATGCCCAATTACGGAAGCTCAGCCAACCTGAAGAGTATTTCAGAGGTATTTACAGAATTTCATGCTAATAAAACCGACAACGGTGATCGTCTGCTGGGATGAGTGGTGTAGCGATGTGTAGACTACCTGGTTGGGGTCCTCGAAACGAAAGGGATCAGTGGTTGGGCGGTCTTGCTGACATCGCTTACAAGTGGTCACAATGGCCCATATGTATTCACTCTTTGACATCTTCGAGAAATTTTAACAAACTTAGTTTTGCGAATTCGTCCTCCTCCACATACTTATGAACCAACAACTTCGTAATTCTGTACTCTAAAGGCTAAATTTACGCAGATTAAAACATGAAAACAAATTACACAGTTAACGATTCCTGAAATGAGCAGTTTAGTTAAGTGGAGACTACTTGTCTGGGTTTACTGGGATGCCCATGAACAAGTGATTGGAAACCCATTACCCAACTTGATGGGTCATTCTATTTCCGTCCTATTTGAAGCCAAATAATGTTCTTTCTTTTCTAAAGTTTGATGGCTTGCAGTACAATTGTAGCGGGTATTTTTGGCCTACAGTGTGGATGTCCACAATGAGTTGTTCTTCGAACAACGGGTTTAAGTGGAAAAAAGTTCTCGTTCTCGTGTCAGATATTGTCATCAATGCCGAATAGTCACAGAACTCAGGAGGCACATTTCATTGTAATAAAAAATAATCGAATACACATTCGTACAAAATGATAGCTACATCCCGAAAAATGTCCATAAATATGGGTCAGTAAATCAATAGCAGACACCTAACTGCTGGGAGCATTTCCGCAGCAGACAGTGAGCTACACCTATCGTGTGATGGCTAATGATACTACCTGGCTGCTCACACATCCTCTCGGTCAGTGCAGTGGGCTTCAAACCTGTAACCCACTGGTTGAAAGTCAACCCGCAAGAACCAATGAGCCACACAGCTCTGCCTGGTCGCATATATATGTAACAACAACTAGAAATCCTACTGGTGTTATTCATCATCTAAACGAATTCGGAAATTGGAATGAGGATACCCAACTGATGATTGCTTAAAAACATTTCCCTGTAACTCCTTCACAAAACTTTTTGATGACTACAATTCCCGAAAAATCAGTAAACATACAAAAGAGAATACCATCAAAATATAGAAAGTCAGTTCCTCGTAAGCACAATAGCTTGGTTTAAATTTTTTTTAAAAACAAGTAAAACAAAAAGGGCAAGCGTAAGAAACGGGATAATACTCAGTAATACTACCTGTGTTGAATCTGGGGCTACCCGATCACAAACAGCTATTTTTGTAACCTCATCATCTTCCGAAATAGATTGCACAGATGGCCATTTGAATGGTCGTGGATTAGAGACCTTTTCACTCCCAGTAGTGCTTGTGCTTGTATTCTGTCTTGAGCATAACTTCTTCTGAGTTAGTGTTCTCACACGATCTTCCCACTGTAGCCGACTGCGTTTCTTTGCATCAGACACTACCAGGTCGAGAAACTAATAACAAAGTAGGTATGACATGCAAGACATTTAAAAAGTTGTTTCATCAAGTTTAGATAGTGACCACTACCACAGAAACTTATACACAGGTAAATACAGTCATGTAACTATACACTCAAAATTAATACAAGCAGAGGCCCTGAGATCATCTTTACGTAAGCGCACTTCACAACGATGCGCATGGACACCCTCAGACTTTTTCCAACCTTGCACGTCAAGGTAGGCGGTGGCTCGGCATGCGCAAAACACGTCTAAACCATCTCAGTTGCTGAAGTGCGCAGAAGTATACGACTATGGAATCACTTGCACAAGCTAACAATTTCAGATGGGATTCCTACATTGGTGGAAAGTAGTATTCATTTTTCACATATTTTCACTTTTCAGCAGTAGGGTAATAAGATAGTCAACTAATCGTTTGATTTTACCTGGAACTATAAACAAACGACATTCCGTACATTATCATGATGAATACGTGCCGACAGCATAAAATCTATTCTTCTAAATAAAACTCACAGCCTTTCCTGTATTTTCGTGATGCTGCTGAAGCCAGTTAAAGTAGGGCTTGTTAAGTATTTCATCTGGTAGTCGAGCAATAGAATTCAAGGCAGTCATTCGAAACTGAGCCACAACCTTTTCCATTTCATCTTTCCGAGCTGTCAAGTACAAAACAGCACACTTATCGGCTTCTCCCATGAAATCAATAATTTCTGACCTAGTCCATCCAGGATGTATCTCTACATCAAAATCGTCCGGCACATACAATTCCTCAAGCTTCGTCATAGTTGAGAACAGAGATTACCTAAAAAAAAAGAAGACGTGTCATATAACCATCCGAAAAATGAAGTTTGAACAGAAGTACAACAAGATTGTTTTTACTGAAATCTGTAAATTAGCGTCTGAAGACACGAAGAGAATTACAGAACTGTAGTGGACTATGACATAAGATGTTTGGTAACCCAGGTCACGTGATGCGCCAGTATCGAGTCAAATAGCCATTCTAGTGAATTCTACTTGAGAAGTCCTATTGCCAATTAGTCTAGATAACCAAATGATCAGACAGGAAAATCAACGTAGAACCTCGCAGATAAGTACACTGGTTCAAGTTGGGTAGGAATAGTGCATTCGAAGCAGACAAAAGTGTGTAGGGGAGGACGAATTCGCAAAACTAAAGTTGTTAGAACTTCTCGAAGATGTCAAAGAGTGAATACATATGGGCCATTGTGACCACTTGTAAGCGATGTCAGCAAGACCGCTCAACCACTGATCCCTTTCGTTTCGAGGACCCCAACCAGGTAGTTTACACATCGTTACGCAGCTCAGACAAAGTCAGAGGATTCATAGACTGACGCCACGTCTTGCTTGGACTATCCTGAGCCTTTTTTCAGCCCAATCCCACTTCAACTAACATTGTATATCGAGGTAGGTGGGTGGTGGCTAGGCATGCGCAACCTCCAATCTCTTCACACCTGCTTTCAACGACTGTCTCACAGCCGTATAATAGGACAGAGTGAGCTGGAGTGCAGCATACTCGCCTTTGTCAGAGATGACGCAAGATGGTCAATGCCAAATAGGCCTTCTGTATCCGAGTTGAGATTTAGTCAGCAACCAACCCATCTGGGCTGATGCAACTCCCACACCAAGTGGAGTGATTATCAACCCATCCAATCACTTCACTTCCAATGTCCTTGAATTTAGAGCGGGTGAGGACCAGCTATAGAGCATCGTCTTACATTTGACAGATGTGAAACGTACGCCAAACTTACTCAGATTTCCGCTGGAGGTGTTCGCTAGACCTTGCATTTTGTCTGCGTCTTCATCTAGCAGGACAACATTATCTGCGTACTCCAAGTCAATCAGATGACCTCCAGGGAGTGGATCAATCCCTGTGAAATTGGAGGTGTCTAAGGTTATGTTCATTAATACGTCTATAAGGTAGTTGAACAAACAGTGACAACAGGCATCCGTGGTGGACACTTTTAGTTGTCATGTTTTCAAACGACGACTACGTATACGCTTTTAAACGGTAGCGTGAGTACGAGTAGAGGGTGTCGACTAGCCCTGCATACTGGTTGACTACTATCTTCCAAGTCGGAGACTGCCACAATACATAACACGGTCGACGGATTCAAATGCCACATTTAGGTTAAGAAATATGACGTGTCTGCTATCACATGACGAAGAGTGAAGATTTGGTCGGTGTACACATCCAGGTCTGTTTTTCTCGATTTAGCTTTAGTCTTGGAACAATGCAAACAGGTGGTTATACGCCCTCACTCTACCGGAAGTATTACTACATGAGACTTCCAAGATGTTAATGAATCCCTCAGCCAGAGAAGGGCGAACACATGATCGATGCATTAGGACCTGGATGAAACCCGGTCTGCTCCTCGCGAATCACTCACGCTTATTTTCCAAAGTCCACGAAGTATGACAACAGCCAATATTACCGACGCGACTGGTAGCAGACTAATTCATGCCTTGTATGAGGGCTGGGATACTGTCCAGTCACCCAGACTGAAACAGAGAGTTGTCTTAGGGGACCACTTCCCGAGCATTTGACTTAGTCTAATCCACAACGCAGTAGAGCAACATCCGTAGCTGCATCCCCATGGTTACCGGTGACTCAAATGAGCCCATACACCATTTGTTTCATCTGCAACCTGGAGCCTATGAGCACCATTGATTTGAAGTGAGGGTTTTCCAACTCCTCAGTGTCCCCCGATCGGGTGATAAGCGCCTGACATTCGCTTGCGCCTTTCCACATCCGTGGAAACACCGCCTCGTGAAGGCAGTCAACAGGACATCCCTGGTAGAAACTGTGAACGCGTGCCAAACCATTTCGGAGATATATAACTAATACTATACAAATTTCTAATCATTCATTGCTCACATTGTATCGTATACGGACTACAGTAGCAACGGCGATATAACCAAGCACCTCAAATAGATATTTACTTCCAGTACAAACCGTCTGAGCACCGGGAGTGCAACAACTAACTTGAAAATTGTCTCCTCAGCTTTATCAGAGAAATAATTACTGTGACGCGCTCCCGGTTCCCCGCAAATGTGGTCGCAGGTGTTTCTACAGTATTCTTGTCTAGAAAGCTTTAGCGGAAGTTTCTGATGTTGCGTAAGGGCTAAAGATGCTGAGAAGCTAACAGATATCATTTATATTGACATGAGTAAGGGATTTCACACGGCAGCTCACTCCATGTTACTGCTAATCAAACTGGAAAACAGGGGTCACTCGCTGTCTACTAGCTTGGATACTGAAGTTACTTCTTGCTCGAAGAAAAAGTAAGGACCAACTACCAACTCGTTACGAAGTTGTTCACATGAAAACAGTCATAGATGTCCTACTATTTCTCCTGTACATAAATGAACTACTGAGCACTGCGAAGTTTCACTATTATTTACGCTAATGTACGGAAACTTCAAACAGATCCAGATGGTTGGCTAGCATGACCGTGCAAATGTTTGATGCCTATCAACGACCACGCACAGTTGACAACTCACTGTTGGAAAGGTGATTGAGAACTTTCAAAACAAATTCGGACGGCTACTCGTATGACCCTCCTAAGGAAGACCGCAGCAGCTTGACCTATCCGTTGACTGCATCACGGGTAGACAGGAGGCCTTATCTTACCATAAAGAATTATAAGAAATGCCTTCCAACTTGACCTGGCTATTTCTTACCTCATTATTTTCGTCTTACAGGAGAGTATGAAAGTAAAAGACGGATGTCACTGCCATGAGGAGATAGTCTTCATGCCAAATAATCCACGCTTTCGACTGTGAAAACGTCCTCTACTGACTTGTTGAATAGGAAAATGGGCAAACGCAAACATTTACTAGAATCTGAGAATCTTCGGCTGTTTTCCTTCCTCAAGCCTCGAACCTTAAATTGGCCGTCAATATTTTCGTAAGGTCAAACAAGTCACAGTTGCGCCATGAATCGGACATGGGGCCAATTGTGGTGCACATGAGACCAAACGTTGCGCCGATGCGGCTGGATGCAGGAATATCTTAGAAAATGTCTAACCAAACACTGGGCTATCACTTAAAGCTCAAAATCATACTAAGGACAAGAAACAGCGGACCAGACATGAGGAAAATGTTGCGAAATCCTAGGTCACGCCCCCCATTTGGTCGCAAAAAATGTTGACCGTCATTGATTGATGATCGCTTCATAATTCCCTTTGCGTAAAATAAACAAAACTTCGAAAGGTTTGCGTGACATAATGAAGTGTAAAACATAGATTTGGCAGACTGTTCTCTTCTCTTTAGAATAATGTACTGCTAGACCTCTAGGTTCGCTAATTCAGTCCCAACTTACAGTTATACCGCCAAATCACTTGAAATCTGTTGGTGATGCCGTATAACAACTCAAACTGCAAAGCATCTCAAGTTTAGAAATTCGTGCCATGAGAATAGTGAATGATCACTCGTTACTTGATACATCTCATTAGCTAACAGTTAATAATGATAATCCAATATCTTTTTAACGAGCTCGCGTAAACCAGTTGATTTCTTCGTGCTCGCTTCTTGGTCTTAAAGGGACGTTTCCAGGTCGTCGCCGGATTCCGATGCATTAGATCCGGCTAATCGTCTTCTACGGCTTTGGTATACAGAGCAGAAGGTTGAGTGTTGGTTATTTTGCCTAGGATTGTGGTACAGTTGGGTTCTCCAAATTCCGAATGGCTGGACAGCTGTTCAAACTGGTTGCTAGACAGAGTTAGGCATTTTGAAGAGATAACCTGGGAAGATGAACGTGTGTGAGTAAAGGACGAAAGGAAGTGAGCTGATGGAGCAATCTAATTACACTCAAATAAGACGAGATGGATGCAAAGACATGAAGAACTTGGGTTGCTTGAGGCTTACTCATTGCAAGTGAAAAGGATGAAGATGGCTTAAATGATTACAGTAGAAAGAAAGCCAGTGTAGAAGTAACACAGTTGGAGTGGTGTGACAGCAGTTTGTTTCTTTGGTCTAGTTCGCGTTCCAGCTAGATGCGGGTAAACCGTGAGTCTCTGAGTAACTATCCAGCCTTTTCTTGAAACTTTTAACAGATGTGGCGGAGACTATCTCTGCTGGTAGTGCATTCCAGTGCCCGCAGACTCGTGGGGAAGAAGTGTGAGCGCACACCAGTTTTTGACCTTTTGTGGGCAATCCTCTTCACGAGGATTGTCATAGTGGCAGCTCGGCAGTATCCCCTGGTTGGGTGAGTTGGGCCATTCAGTATTTTGCAAGCCGTCATTCAATCACCTAGTAACTTTCGGTAACCAAGCTATCATAGGCCTTGGTCTTTTGGTTTATCGTAATGTGGTCTTGCGTGCATCCCGGCAACTTCTTTTGTGGCTCGTCTCTGAACTTTCTCTGGTAGGTTTGTTCTTTCTTTCCGTTGTGGTGGAGTGGACCTCTAGGTGGGGTCGTATGCGGAGTTTCAAAAAGAGCTCTGGGTTGCGGGCACCTAGTTGTCCAACCAAAAAGTGTGGCATACAGTACCCTTTCGAGGCGTCCCCTGGGTAGTTGTAACTAGTGTTCAGTTTCTCCGTCAGCATTAAACCCAGCCCTGTCTCCGAGGTGGTGTAAGAAGGATTTGAGCCACGAACAGAGTAGGATAGTTTCTATGGATCAGGAGCTTGGGAAAACATGGACCGGCATTTTTTCGGGCTAAGTGCCAATTAGTTATTTCTCCCCCACCCTTCTAGCGTTTTGTGGTCGTTCTGTAGCCCAGTCGATTCCGTTTCGAATGTTACTTCCCTCCACAACATAACGTCATCAGCATATAGGAGAATCGGGGAACCTGTATGCAGCGGAAGGTCATTCACGAACAGTAGGAAAGGCAACAGGCCTGGGATTGCTACTTCTGAGTCACCGGAAGATGATGTTCTCAGATTGAGTAGACCCCGCTGACTTCCGTGCGGAACTCCGTACTATCTAAGTAAGTCCCCAACCGCGGTAGCACATAGCCACGGATACCCAGCCCGGCTATTTTGTGTTAGGATGGTGTGCGAGACACAGTCAAAGGCTCTGGTGAAATCCAGAACAATCTCGTGGACCGGGAAGTCAGAAGTCACTGCAAGCTTGAAGTTATCCTGCCACTGCTACATCTTTGTCAGCCTAATCTGGAAGCCAGTGCTGGAGCCCCATTAAAAACAGTGTTCAAGATTTTATAGCTACGCAGGTTAATAAAAGAATTATGTACCCATGTATTGCACTAGTATACAACATACCGGACCAAGAGCCGATCAAACAACTAAAAACCTTATGTTTGAAGGCTTGTAACATGTCTTCTGCAGAGTGCCAAGTTACCAGTCTCCGCAAGAAGTTGAGGAAATAAATCTGCCCCTTGTTGTTCAAATTTAATGGCTCTTACCATCCCAGGCACTTCCTATCATCCGATCAACTTATTAGTGCATCATTCCCGTAGCACGAATCACCACCAAACCAGGTGCCGCACTATGTATCCAACAAAATACTGATGACATTACTCAGCCTACAAACATGCCTAGCACCAGCCACAAGCACCTTGTCACCATAGGACTGTCCCGAAAATTATTGGGTAAGCAGTCTAATCTAAACAAATAAATAAATAAATTTTTATTTTCACATCAGTAATTAACATGACAGAAGCCAGTTTACAGGCATCATCACATTGATATATGTTGAAAAGTCTACAAGATTTTACGGGCCCTTAATAGTACAGAGGGGAGGTGGTTTAACTCCATCAAAAACATCAGATCATGGTTGCGGGACAAAGAAAGTACCATTTTCAGCATATGCACTGCGTCAAAGTGAAGGTAATAAAGATACTCATTCCCATATATCGCATTTAACATGACAGGTACCAGTTCACAAGCACCATCGAAATGACTTTGAAAGTTTACAGAATAGTGCCGGGAATTATATGACTCATATAGCAAGTTATTGATATGCATAAACTCATTAAAACCTGCTGCGAATAAATGGCCGCTTGTGGATTTCCATCTGTCATAACACAAATAGGTTCCACTATTAACAACGAAAGCGCACAATGTTCGAAGTTTGCGTTATAACCAGACGAAGTTGTTAGTCCATTTGCACGGCTTCCTATTTAGTAATATAAACCTCCATTCACGAGAAAATTCTTCACATTCTAAGCTCTGCTAACCATAAAAAGCTAATTTATACGATCTGGAGTATCAGTAAGTATCCATGGTTATATAACCAAGGTGACTGTTTACACACATGCATTTCCAGCTCACCATACGGTTTAAAGTCAGTATACATAAATTCCACCAGAGTAACTTGTATTAGTGGATGGAAGTAGATGTTGAAACGGTTAATGGTCCAAATGGCAGCAGTTATACATGGACTTCAGACATCGTTCATATTAGCGTAAGCAGCATCGTTCGAGAAGTGTGTCTGATGCATGGCAACTTACTCGAAAAGATCACTTGATACAGAGTACCAGAGAACATGTAGTGTGGAACTACTGCAGGCAAGTCATATTCCGAGCAAATAGGTATATTGGTCTCTCGTTTGGTCATTTGTTCAGAATGTTTGTCCCACTATGGCTGTTGGGAAACTTTAGACGGTTCATCGCAAGAAGAATCCTGACCAGTCGGTGAGTTAGTTGTGAAGATGCTCCAGAAACCGCGAAAGATTGGGAGCAGTTCAATAATTCGTGGAGTCAAACAGCAGGTATTATTTCCACTTAGTAGACATGTCCGGATTGAGATTCAGCATCGAAGGTAGTCATCGAGCTGTTGCTGCAAATAAGAAAAGGAAAGAAGGAAGAGGCGAGCACATATGGAAAAGGGAATTACCTCGCAGTCCAGTTTGGAAAAGAGAGAAGTTCTTACACTTTTAGATCTATCCGAACTTCATGTACATTTTCATGTGTGTGTGCGTGAGTAACCACATGGTTTTTCTACCATAAGGCTCTTAAAACTTTCCTACATCTGCGGTGTTTTGTAGTAGCTTTGAGGGGGAACCAGTGTACGTCGTATTCATCATAGTGGGGAGGAGAACCAGTGCTCACACCCTCGTAAGTAATCGTCAACCCATAAGTGTAGGAGGAACTCGAGGACTGTAACAACTCTGTTTCAAACATTTAGAGGTCCAAGTACATCCTCATTAGCCCAGGATGCATAGATGGTGGTTAATTGAGCGACAGACTTGTCTTTTATTAGTAGCCTACTATGTGAGTGGCGGAAAGGTGTTAACGAGCTTGCCGTACGGGTTTCCTCGGGGAGCCTTTTCCAAACGTGCGCGAATTTATTCAGGAGGAAATTATCTCGCGTGCTCGTCGTACAACACTCAGCTTCAACGAATACTTTGTGGTTACGCATATCGTACATAGACGCTATAATTAGCTTGATTTGCAGATTAGTATTGCGCAAGCGCTGCAGCAGATATTATCTCATGTTGCCCATGCCAGATGTGAGGGAGCCTAATGAGGCAGAAATTACCTCGTACATTGGTCTTACAACACTCATTTTGGGCAAATAGTTGGCGATTACGTGTGTTGTATGTAGGCTCTACAACTATTTCAATTCCTGGACCGCATGAATGCATTTGCTTACATAGCAGTCTATGACAAACTACAAGATTCTTTCTGAGTCGCCTCTTAAATGAGGTTCTAGCCCTAGCATGATGCTTTAGGAGATGTAGTCAAGGTTGCAGTCAGCTCCTAGTGTTCCTAATGTAAAGCGGCGTTGCAACCCCTCGGTTTTTAGTTCATCGTCTGTCCGGAAGCTGCTTATGACAAATGAGCAGTTTTCTGGAACTGGACGGATGCATACTTTGTAGAGTAGGACCTTTGGAGCATCATCCATTCGTCTACAGTTGTCTCTGCAAGCTGTGATGCTACGTAGTCTCCATAGCATCTTTGGCTTAGGACTCCATTACTCTAACGACCTTACATTCTCTGGACACGTGGTGACACAACCCCGTAAGTGCAGAATATTACTTGGCTGTATTATTCGTAACGTTCATTACCACGAAGCCAAATTATTGACATACGAAACTTGAGTCCAACCCCTGTTAGAATACTGTTCATTCATCTTAAAGAGCTTCCGTATAGACGACAAACTTAAGATTGAGAGTGTGTAGAGGTATTTTACATCCAGGCTGCTTGGTTACGAATGTGGTCAGGATTATGCATCTCGGTGTACGTCCCTTAATCTGCAACCACTTTGGATGAGAAGTCTTAAGACTAACCTTATATTTTTCTTCAAGATTTTACACAAAATATCCTTTACAGCTGGTGAGGAAGCCCGTTTCACACCCAAAGGTTGTTACAGTCTTCGCAATCAAGCCTACAGTGTTGAAATGAAATCTTTTAGAATATCTCTCCAAGCTAACTTCTTCCCCATTAAATACTCAAGAATATGAAACCATCTTGCTGTTGACATTAGAGCTTCGAGCCCAACT